GCAAGAAAGGTAGTTCAGTAAAAGCCACTTCCACTAACTTGGAACGAGTTCACTTAGAGGCAAACCAATGAACCAATCACTCAGGATTTGGACTCTGATCAAAACAAGAGGCCTTTAATTATAGAACACTGAAAAAGAGGCAGCTTAGAAATGAAAATGAATAAAAGAAAAACAATGATGAAAGCAGTCCTGCAAGAGAAGTTTCTATGCCTGTGTTCAGATTTAACCTAATCTCATCTCATGCTCTGCCTGCAGTTTTTGTCTCTTTTTAAAAGGATTGAAATCTGTGTTTTTTCACTGCATTTCTTTGCATTTTAAAGTTGTATTAGCTCTTTAGATTGGGCTCACTTAAGAGTTAGAAAGATTAAAAATGTGTCTGGAATTTTGATGATGACAGTGCCCTGTGTAAAGGGTCACGGCAGATTCTTTTGGCTTGCTGACGCAGCATCAACCAGTACACCAGAACCACTGTAAAATCTACATGAACAGCACTGGAACACCGAATTCAGTGGAGGCCTAGTTCGGATCTTAGAAGTAAAGACGACATTATTCCTTTAAATGATGAACAAAGACACTTTTCTTACACTACGACATAAAAAACACAGTCAGCTGGCTAACAACATTGTTTTTGTGCAGAAATGTTGATTCCAATATTGATGACCATGAAGCGTTCAGTGAATGTAAGCTTTCGGCCAGAACTGGGTCACATATCCATAGTGTTTTAGTCCCAATTTCCTTCAGCATCAATTTTAGAATAAAGATGTTCTGTTTTCATTTAACAAAAACGAGCGATTCCTATTTCTGCAAAGGACCACGTTAGAGGATTTTGATCCCATTTGGCTGCTTAGAAATGGTTATTCTACTTTACATAATTGTAAGAATCATAATCAAGATTTGTTTTAATATATTTTAACAATTAATTCCAACTACAAAAAGCACAGCGACCAATCAAAGAAGAAAAGGCCAAAAACTGCCACAAAACCTTTACCAGTTACATCCAGTGCTTTCAAATGTAATGGAGTACGCAGAGCAAAGGACCCAACAGCAGACTTCAGAGGGAGACATTTATCAGCTGATACAAGTCCAAGGGACACACACAGGGACACACACAGAGGGAAACACACAGGGACACACACAGAGGGACACACAGGGGGACACACACAGGGACACACACAGGGGGACACACACGGGGACACACACACAGGGACACACACAGAGGGAAACACACGGGGACACACACAGAGGGACACACAGGGGGACACACACAGAGGGAAACACACAGGGACACACACAGAGGGAAACACACAGGGACACACACAGAGGGAAACACACAGGGACACACAGGGGGACACACACAGGGACACACACAGAGGGAAACACACAGGGACACACACAGGGACACACACAGGGAAACACACAGGGACACACACAGGGACACACACAGGGACACACACAGGGAAACACACAGGGACACACACAGGGAAACACACAGAGGGACACACACAGGGACACACACAGGGACACACACAGGGAAACACAGAGGGAAACACACAGAGGGAAACACACAGAGGGAAACACACAGGGACACACACAGGGACACACACAGGGAGACACACAGGGAAACACACAGGGAAACACACAGGGA